CAACTCATAGTTCACCAAAGCTGAGGTCACCTCCTTGTAGCTAACTGTAGTTCTTCCATTGATCATAGTGAGAACGAACGTACCATAATCATCTTCGGGCAACGAACACAGAAGTAGCATCGCCTTGTCTTCATCCTCAACTATAATATCAACATTGGCCATATCTGAAAGTAGCTTAGTGAAATTGTTGACATGCTCCCTGATGGAAACCCCTCTCTTCATCTTGAACTGGTAAAATCTCTTCTTCAAGTGAAGCCGATTCTCAATGCTCTTCGTAAGATATTTCTCATTGAGTGTTTCCCACATCTTCTTCGCCGACGTCTCGTTCATAACATCATAAATAAGATCCGGCGTCAAGCATGACCTAATAACACCACAAGCTCTACTGTTCATCTTTCTCCAAACCTTATCCTCCAACTCAGCGGGTTTCTCTTTTAACTCAAGAGTCTCCTCCAAATTCTGTGCATCCAAAGCATCCATCACCTGACACCTCCACAATCCAAAATTGATCTTGCCATCGAACTTCGGAACATCAATCTTCGTGTTATTGATGCTCAGACTCTGTATCGCCTTTGTTAGAGACGAACCTGACGTGCTTGCATCTCCCATGTTGTCGATCTAGCTCTGATACCAATTGTTGTGCGCGGCGGAAGCTTTCTAGGGCAACACGAACAATAACTCGAACTAAACCACAAACAATATGCAAACCACAATCACAGCAAGAACACACAATTTACGTGGTTCGGCAAGTTGCCTACGTCCACGGGGCAAGGAGGGGGGAGTTCTTTCTACTAGAAATCAAGAGAATACAAATAGGGTTACAAATCTCTCAGACCAAACCCTAAAACAAAGCTCTAGATCTCTCAAAGCTCTCTCACAATTGGATGCAATGATTCTCTCTCTTTGGCTGCTCAAATTCGTCCAACCTCTACCCTAAACAAACAGGTTTAGGTATATATAGAACTTACAAAACGAATCGGGTCGAAAACCTGAAAGCCCAGCCCAAAACAGCGTCGGTCGACCGGACCGGTCGACCGCGATCAATTCCGGTCGACCGGCCCGGTCGACCGACCAGCTCTCAGTAGAAAACCCAAACTCCAGAGAACCCCTCGGTCGACCGCACCGGTCGACCGACCACCTTCCTGACGCACAGTAAGCTTTGTGCACGAATGCGGTCGACCGGACCGGTCGACCGCCGCCTGCTATCTTCTTGTCCTGTGGATCCCATAACTTGAAGCCTTTGACTCCATCTCTAAATCCCACAAAGACTGCTTTCCTCGCTCTCGGATTTAATTTACCATCACTGACATGATAATAAGCTGGACACCCGAATATCCGAAGCGACTCATAGTCACTAGCCTCCGAACCAAACCAACGCTCCAAAGGAGTCTTCCCGTCTATCGCAGTGCACGGCAACCTGTTCACAAGATGGCTCGCATAAACCAACGCCTCGGCCCAAAAAGATCTAGGCAATCCACTCTGCGTCATCATACACCGCACCTTCTCCAGCAAGGTACGGTTCAATCTCTCAGCCACCCCGTTCTGTTGCGGTGTCTCTCGAACTGTGAAGTGTCTTCTAATGCCGTGATCCCGGCAAAACTGCAGAAACGGATCACTCTTGTACTCTCCACCGTTATCTGAACGTAGAGTCTTCACCTTTCTACCTGTCTGCAGCTCCACTTTCTTTTTCCACTCCACAAAAATATCCAGGACCTGATGTTTATGCTTCATCGGGTATACCCAATTCCTCCTGGAATAATCATCAATGAAAGTGACAAAATAGTTGGCCCCACCAAGAGATGTGTTCTTGGAAGGACCCCAAACGTCCGTGTGAATATAATCCAATGTACCTTGGGTGTTATGAACAGCGGTGCCGAACTTCACTCTAGTCTTCTTCCCAAGTACACAATGCTCACACAATTCCATCTTGCAGGTCTTAGCACCTTTCAATAGCCCCTGTTTAGCCAATGACTGTAGGGACTTATCTCCTGTGTGTCCAAGTCTCATGTGCCATAAGGTGGTAGTGTCCTCCTCTGTAGTGATAGAAGCTGCCAGACCCCCTGTAACTGTCTTGCCCTTCAAGTAGTATAGGTAGTTTTCCCTGACACCTCGCATCACCACCATAGAACCCTTCGTGACCTTCACTGTAGCATCCTCTAAGATCACTCGATATCCTGCTGCCTCCAAAGTCCCAAGAGAAATGATGTTCTTCGTCAACTGCGGCACGAACCTCACTTCCTTCAATTCCCTCACTACACCATCATGCATCCTGATCCGGACTGAACCAATACCACCAATAGGGCATACGTGATCATTACCCATAAGCACGACATCCCCTCTTTCCAGCTCCTCAAAGCTAGAAAACCACTCCCTCTTAGGGCAGATGTGATATGTAGCTCCCGAATCCATCATCCACTCCGTGGAATCCGCATAGCAAACCGACGGTAAAGCAGGGCATGAATAGCCTGAAGAATCTGAATCTGAATGCTCACCAATAGCTTTTGCAACATTCACTTCTGAAGCTTGTGCAGCTTTCCCCTTATTCTTTCCGGCTTTTTCTTTCCACTTTGGGCAGTCAATCTTCCAATGTCCTTCTTCTTTACAATACCGACATTGATTTCTACCAACACTCTTATAGGCACTCCTATTCTTTGACTTTGAGCGGTTGAACTGACGACGGTTTGGATCTCGGCCTCGAACTGCTAACGCATCTCCCGATGCCTTCTCGGAGGGTTCACCATCACTCTTCCTCAACTCATAGTTCACCAAAGCTGAGGTCACCTCCTTGTAGCTAACTGTAGTTCTTCCATTGATCATAGTGAGAACGAACGTACCATAATCATCTTCGGGCAACGAACACAGAAGTAGCATCGCCTTGTCTTCATCCTCAACTATAATATCAACATTGGCCATATCTGAAAGTAGCTTAGTGAAATTGTTGACATGCTCCCTGATGGAAACCCCTCTCTTCATCTTGAACTGGTAAAATCTCTTCTTCAAGTGAAGCCGATTCTCAATGCTCTTCGTAAGATATTTCTCATTGAGTGTTTCCCACATCTTCTTCGCCGACGTCTCGTTCATAACATCATAAATAAGATCCGGCGTCAAGCATGACCTAATAACACCACAAGCTCTACTGTTCATCTTTCTCCAAACCTTATCCTCCAACTCAGCGGGTTTCTCTTTTAACTCAAGAGTCTCCTCCAAATTCTGTGCATCCAAAGCATCCATCACCTGACACCTCCACAATCCAAAATTGATCTTGCCATCGAACTTCGGAACATCAATCTTCGTGTTATTGATGCTCAGACTCTGTATCGCCTTTGTTAGAGACGAACCTGACGTGCTTGCATCTCCCATGTTGTCGATCTAGCTCTGATACCAATTGTTGTGCGCGGCGGAAGCTTTCTAGGGCAACACGAACAATAACTCGAACTAAACCACAAACAATATGCAAACCACAATCACAGCAAGAACACATAATTTACGTGGTTCGGCAAGTTGCCTACGTCCACGGGGCAAGGAGGGGGGCTTCTTTCTACTAGAAATCGAGAGAATACAAATAGGGTTACAAATCTCTCAGACCAAACCCTAAAACAAAGCTCTAGATCTCTCAAAGCTCTCTTACAATTGGATGCAATGATTCTCTCTCTTTGGCTGCTCAAATTCGTCCCTGAGGTTACCCTAACAAATCAGGTTTAGGGTATTTATAGATTACAAAACGAAACGGGTCAAAAAACTGGAAAAACTGATATTCGCTTCGTCAGTCGACCGGCCCGGTCGACAGCGATCAATTCCGGTCGACCGGCCCGGTCGACCGATCACCATCCAGCAGAAGCCCCAAAAATCCAGAGAGACCGTCGGTCGACCGCACCGGTCGACCGAATCATCTGCGGTCGACCGGGCCGGTCGACCGACCTCCTTCCAGACGCACAGGAAACCTTGTGCACGAATGCGGTCGACCGGACCGGTCGACCGCCGCCTGGTTTGACTGATTCTTCTGAGTTTCTGTAATTTCTTCATTACTTGCTGTAATCTAAAAAGAAAAATTAATGACTAATAATAGAATGTCTTCCGTCGATTAGATTATCTTCGATCATCTCATCTTCAATTGAGTTGAGAGGGTTAATATATCGTTACGTACCATCAAAAGTGATAGAAAAGATATAAAGGTCAGAAAAATGAAAGAAGATAAAGTTTTATTTTATGGTGGGCACCTCTAAAAGTTTTGATCACATAAAAAGGTGAAAATGAAAAAAGAAATCATTAGCTAGATCCAAATGCTAGGGCTTTTTTCTTTAAATAATAAGAAATTCATCCCGCAAAATTTGATATGTGAACAGAACTTTTTTCTTCCAAAGGGGAAATTCTTTAGAATACCATTTTTTTTTTTTTTGGTGCTGTTTTGCTGTTTTTTCATCAGACGAAAAACTTATCAAGATCATTTTTATTAATCATATAGTCGGATTATCATATATAGCTTAATATGGAAGTAAACCGTAGCAAATAAAAAGTTAACAAGTATTCATTTTGTCAGGGAAAAATTTTTAAAGCTCCAGAAGTACTGGATGTTAATTGTTTTTTGTTTCACTTCGGAAGCAAATAGGAAGATCTGAAGAAAGAGACGTGAAGTTTCTTGATAAATCCTATATGAGTTTTGTACAACATCATCACTACATAGAATTGCAGTATTTGTGCTCAAAGAGAAAATATAAAACAAAAAGATAAAATCAATGCGCATCTGTAGCTCTGCTCAGAATTTTTTTTTTTTTTCGGTGAACAGATCTTCCCAAGCGTGGGCCATTGCTTTTGTTTTCTGAAAAAGAACCGTAATCAGATTATCTCCAATTCAATCAGAGCGCAAATAAAATCCACCCTGAAAAGTGAAATACTACTCTCTTCTCATGATAATGGATGGATCTTATCATTTAGTTCATATGGACAATTTTCTCAGTCTCTTGAGATTCAATGACCACAAACTACTTCCTTAGGAACAAATAGAAACGAACAAACCAACCAAAAAATTGGATTTTATAAACTCAATTAAAAGAAACATGATTTCACGATGGTGTGGAAGTTCAATATACAATGATTTCTCATACATACACAAAAGCTTAATGACTGTAACCGAGCACAATTACACAAACATACATGGGGCCATTAACAACCATACTCAATCGTCATCCATTTCTCAAGTTGTCTTTTGCTGAAGATCTCATTAGCATCAATTAGAGTCCAAGTTTTCAGCTTCAATTCCATGATTTTTCTTTAGTTTCGCCACAAGGACCCACATATTAGCTAGCTCATTCTCCAGGAAAGCTTCTTTCTGTTTCGACTCCTCAACTTTTTTATGTAGCTCAGCTTCTCTCAGCTCCTTCTCTCTGAGAGCAGCTTCAAGCAACAACTCTCTCTCGTGAGAAATTGCATTTACTTCTCTCTTGGTTTCTTGCCGTCTAATTTGGCCATCTCTTCTACTAGGTTTTGGTATGTTGCTTGTTCTTCTCTGTGAATTTCTCAACGATGTTAACTCTGTAACCAACCTCTCGTTGTCTTTCATGAGCTTGGTGACTTCTTCCGATAAGGCTTTCAACTCGACACCCGCAGCAGAAGCCAGCCCTTTGGCATATGTGCTCTCCTCCATTAGTTTCTGGTTTTGGGTCTCAAGTTGGCTTTTAGATTCTGTGAGTTGAGCTACTCTTAGCTTCAGTTCTTCAATCTCAGATGCCTTAAGATAAAATTCCAATGTGGACATGTAACTGAAGAAAATGAAAGAAAGGTATCTATGACATGATACAGGTATGAACAGCATAAATTCATCATTATGCCTTATTTTTATCATTAGAAGTCAACTTATGGAGCACTGTTCCAAAGGAAAACAAGACTTTACAATTTTGTGACAACCTTGTACCAAATCTGCTTGCTGCATTTCAAGCAAAACAATCATGAAGAAGTGAGGATGTATGCTTAAAACCTTTATTAAAGTATATTTGCTGCATTTCAAGCAAAACAATCATGAAGAAGTGAGGATGTATGCTTAAAACCTTTATTAAAGTATATTTGCAGACCTTTGGTCAAGCATTAAACTTTCAAGTGAGGATGTATGCTTAAAACCTTTATTAAAGTATATTTGCAGACCTTTGGTCAAGCATTAAACTTTCGAGGTGATAGAGGTGAGCATTTTTCACTAGCAAGACCTCAACAAAACATTGCCAAGAGGAAAAGACTAAAATCATGTCACAGACTCACGAGATGTATCCTACACGTCTCATCAGATCACCAATGAACCCTTTTTGCCTAGATCCATTCCCAAGTCCTAGTCACACACCCATTCTCCATCATATTTACTCCAAGAAACTGAACTTATCTGTTTCTTTAGCATACAAGCAACTAAAAAGCGATCTTTTCAGCAAATTTTGATTGACTACTGTGCATGTAATGTTGCGTCATCACTCAGTGGTAATTCAATCATACAAGTATTTCGCAATACCGACTAAGCAATCCTAATATTAGTGTAAATTTCAGATCTTCCTCTATAGTAGGATGATCAAAAAGACATGAAGGAATATAATTTGCAACTACAAAGTAAGATCCATAAGAGGTATTAGTAGGATGATCAAAAAGACATGAAGGAATATAATTTGCAACTACAAAGTAAGATCCATAAGAGGTATCCTCAAGGATTGTGCAACATGTATAACACTAGCTAAAAACAATGAACCAGAAGCTATGGAAGTTTGTATCTCATTTTCCCAACGGGCTAATGCATTCCCTTGCTATCAACATGAGAACTTTCATCTTCTTTCTTTGTGCTACTATGGGTAGCATTAGAATATAAATGCACCACATAATGCCAAGCTACTAAGAAAATTTGTTATTCATAGTTTTTATAAACGTGCAAAAGTACAGTTATTAGTCATCATCTATGTTACCCCGACACGGTATTTTTGGTCCCGTACCCGTGTTGGGTACGTTTTGGGTGCGGATCCGCACCCAAACGGCAAGGACACGGCGATTTCACACAAACTCATAAAAATAAAGCTAAAGAAGGGATCTTTATACCTTCTTCTCGCCCAAAAAGTTCATGATCTCGATGCTGCACGTGACTGATCGCCGTCCTGATCGCGGCCATCGTCTTCCTCGATCAGAACCAAGCGTCGACCTTGAGCTTGCGCCCCCTCGACGAGTTGGAAGTCCAGGTTAAGGTCTGCGGGTGAGCTTACCGCGGGGTCCCTCGACCTCGATGATCTTGGCGTTGACCCTAACCTTGACTCGCTCGGCGATGTCCATCGTCTGAGAAGACTTGTTGAGGGTTTGGGGAGGGGGGAGTGAGTGAGGAGAGAGAGAGAGAGGCAGATCTAGGGTTAGGGTTTGGGGAATGAGGTTGGAGGCGGTGAGATTTAGCGTTTATATATAGTTAGGGTTTTGATTGGAGGAGACTGGTGGTTTGGGCCGGTCTAAAGTGGGCCTTATGTTGGCTTGGTTCGGTCCACTTGTAATGAGCTGGAGCTCGTGAGCAGACTTAAGTTGGCTGAGCTCAACCAATTCTATTAATAGTGGGCCTTAAGTTGGCTGAATTTGTGAGTAGACTTTAAAAGGCTTGGGCCGGTCTACTTTTCAAGAGAATGGGCTGCCACAATCAAACTTGTTTGGGTCTACAATTACCAATTTACCATTCATTATAATGATTATTACCATTCATTTTCATCTAAAGTGAATTATTTTATATATATACAGCCGTGTCCCCGTATCCTACTTTTTACAAATTTGTCGTGTCCCGTACCCGTACCCGTACCAGTACACGTACCCGTATCTATGCAACATAGGTCATCATACTACCAGTTATTAGGCAATTTGTCCTCTGATAGCATGCACCAGTATCTATAAAGGAGTAAATCTCATATAGTTCCACCATCTATAGGTTCAGTGCTACGTAGGTTACCCGGACACTTCATACGGGCTCCTGTATCCGCAGCCAACATTTCTCATATCCATGTCTGTATACGACATTCTTTGACACCTCTCAAATATATACATACATTTATATGATCGTGTACTCAATTATATATACATGTATTACTTTAAAACACTCGTGATACACTTCTTGGATGTATATCTTACACGTCACCTCCGATTTCTGCAACTCATTGGACTCACCTCAGGTTTGTTTCAGCCATACCATGTTCATAAGTATGATTTTAAAGGGTAGTTTGGTATCTAAGACAGAAACAAGAAGTTTTTCAATTTATAATCTACTCAATAAAGGAAACATAAAAATGTTATAGGATTTTAGTTCTCATAATATGTGAATGAACGAAAAACAAAATCATTCTCATATAAATTACTAATTTCAATATGTATGTATATAGCCATGTCCTCGTGCCCTACAGTTCACAAATTTCCTGTGTCCCATATCCACACCCGTGTCCGTGTCCACACCCGCACGTGTGCAACATAGAGCGCTGCGATGGATAACACTAGGATATAAATGCGCCACATAATGCCAAGCTACTATGAGAATTCATTATTCATAGTTCTTATTAACGTGCAACACTACAGTTATTAGTCATCATACTACCAGTTATTTGGCAATTTATCCTCTGATAGCATGCAAGTGTATCTATAAAAGGGTAAATTTCATATAGCTCCCTCATATATGCCTTAGTAGCACTTGGCCCCCCTCAACTCAATTATTAGCATTTGTTCTCACTTGGGTTGGCCACCAACTTGACAGCAAGTTGCTCTCAATCATCAACCCCAGGAGGTAAGTGCTGATAAATGACTTGTGGGTGAGAAGTTCAATTGAACATATAGATGAGAACTATGCTAGTACATGAAGGCTATGACAACATAAAGACTGGCTCCTCTAATATTAATTTCGCACATAGCAACAAGCCTCGCAACAATTAACTCAAATTTTCAACCTGAGTTACTGCAGCTATGGCTGTAATTGCCATAAACAAGCATCATTAACGACACATGAGATGTAGAAACTACGTTTATAGGAAAAACAAATGATGATATCATCTGGATAGAAAATAACAATAAAACTACAGAAGTGTATGTTGGACAAATGATGATACCATCTAGATAGAAAATAACAATAAACTATAGAAATATATGTTGGACGTCAATAGGACTCACCATGTGTGCATGTTGCAGCAACTCTGCAGTATCTTGTGATGATACTCCTTCATTTTCTTGCATATGCTGTGGTTCAGCATTTGCTAGTCTGGAATTTTTTGTATCTAGAGCCTGTGCAAGATGCAGATTGAGGGAAGTAATTGTTTCCTGTAACTCTCTGCATTCACATATCTGGGAAAGACAAAGATACTTCGGTATCAGTACAAGGCATTAACTACTAACTAGTACTAATACTACAAGCAAAAAAACTGGCTCTGACCTTTTGTTGCAGTTGATCTTGGATGACTCTATTATCTGCAGTTTTGACCTGGGCACAATAACACAATACTGTCTTTGAACTTTAACATTTTAAATAAATTTCGATTGCAGCTCAATATTTTGAATTTGCAGCTCAATATTTTAAATAAATTTCGATTGCAGCACAATAACACAATACCTTTCCCATTAATATCATATTTCTTTGATTGCAGCTCAATATTTTGAATTTGCAGTTGGACATTAGATGAAGAACCAACAGATAGCGTCTTCTATATGGTATAATCTAAAATTCCAATCTACTGATAATTGCCAGAACTTTCCTTGCCAGTGTTTCATCAGCTAATGACCAGCTACAGCAGAAATATATCGATGAACTGTTTGCACAATTCTTTTTCTCGATCCTGTAAGGACCGCGTGTATTTGAACAAATTTGGACTTGGAGAGACTTTAGCTGGAATTTGTCAGAAGCAGTTTGGATATAGCTGCAATCTATTTTCTCTCTCAGTGTACCCAACAACAAGCTAAGCGATGAACTGTCATTTGATGTTGCACTATTTACATCTATGGAGTTTCCAATTGCTAATGGTTCCCTGCTGTTTACTTTTATTGGATAACTTTTAACTTGTGTTCCTTCTCCCCAAAAGTCTTCAGAAGCTCATCTTCGCACATAACTTTTGCAGATTGAGTTTTCTCCATAACTAGGATGGCCTCAGCTACCATTTCATCTCTTGAAGATTTCCACATGGCTGTGATACTAGACTCTGAAATCAAAGGTAAACCATTTATTGCTCCAGAAATATTTGCACGAGAACAATTCTGAATAAACTTTTTAGTAGCATCCACTTTCACCGTCTGAGTTGTAGGAATGGACACAGTCTCATTATTTGCAGGATAATGACACTCAATTCCCAATTGAGATTGAATTCTTAATTTCAACTTTGCCATCTTAGGCTTCTCTCCATGCACAAGTATAACATGTTGAGGGGAGAGAAATCCTATGAGATCCATAATCCCCTTGCTATCTGTATGAGGACTAAAAGACAACTGATGAATTTGGCAACGAACATCAATTTGTGTGTCCTTGTCCAAGTTAATCTTAGTCGGTTTACCAGACATTAATTTATGCCCGATGGTGCCAGCAACACAATAGCCAGGGAGCGTCACAAGGTTCAGTTCAGATGGGGCCCACTGTTTAAATACCTCGAGAGAAAATCCACCACTGATCATCCCAGGTGTTGCAAATAAAACACATGGCCCAGGTGCATTTATCATAGTACGTTCAAACTGGCAAACATGCTTAAAATCAAATGTATTACGTGTAACATAAGTGTCTTTAATTTTCTGGCTTGTCCAACTGATAAGCATTTTATAATACATATTAGCTTGTAGTGTCAAACCAGCTGAAAAGTATATAGGAACCTTCAAATTCATGCGTTCCCAATAATCATCCAACAATAAACAGAGCTCCTGTGCTCTTCCAAGAGCAAAAGTTGGTATCAGAACTTTGCCTCCTCGAGCAACACATTTGTGAACAGCCAACAAAAACTCCCTTTCTCTAGCATATTTTGAATCTCGTATAGTTGTAGCATATGTGGATTCTGTTATAAGGAGGTCCAACTGTAAGCGGTCAATTTGAGCAGCACCGAGATGTCTATCAGGTGTCATATTATAATCCCCAGTATAAACCATTGCATTTACCCCAACCTTTGCATAAATCATTGCAGCTCCAAGAACATGACCTGCATAATACGCACGAATCTGAAGATCTTTATCGACTTGCACTGTTTGCTTCAAGTCCAATGGTGTAACTTTCTTCATGCATTCAACTATATGATCATAAGTAAATTGCTCCTCTTCTCCTCTTCGATCTACCATAACTTTCCGATAGTCCTCCAACATCAAAGGGGCCAAAGCCTTTGTTGGATATGTCATGTATACGGGACCATTATATCCACATACCTCTGTAAAGTAAGGAAGAGCTCCAACATGATCGAGATGGAAGTGAGTGATAATTATGCATGTGAGAGCAGAATTGAAGTCTCCAGTTTTTGAGATGAGAGAGAAGTCGGGGTATCTTTGGTGATCATGGTGACCCATGTGCATTCCACAGTCAAACATTATTCTCTTCCCTCCAATAGAGACAACAACACAGCTCTTTCCCACTTCCTGTCCTGCACCTAGAACAAGACATTCAATCGCCATGGATAGACTTCTACCTAAACACCCTTAAAATTGTCTCTGCATGGAAATAAAAGAGGATGGAGGGCGATTAGATAAGAATATAGTTGATATTACAAAGAAGATTGAAAAATAGAAGTATTATACACAAGAATCCTGTATCATCATCGAAAACACATGACAGTATCAAGAAACACTTCGGGTATCTTAACCAGGGGTGATGTACATGATGCAGGGTGGTGTCCAGCTTTGTTGCATGGGTACTGGCACTGATACAGATACGGATGTGGGTACAAGTACCGAACATGGCAAATTTATTAAAAGTACGGTACAGGGAAACAACTATGTATACATCGAAAATTAATAATTTAAGCGAGATCAGTATTGTTTTTCTTTTACATGTTATGAGAAATTGAGAATCATAACTTCTATAACATTTTTTATGTTTATGTTATTATGCATTATATAATTTAGTGTTTTAAATTAGAACATGTATTGTAAAATTGAACATACATCTAAGTAATTATGTGCACATATTCAAGGAGTGTTGGCTATGGGTAAGGTAAAGGTTAGGTGCAAGTATGGCTTCATGATAGAAGTGTCAATGCGACACAGGTGTCAAGTGACACCACCGTATATGATAAACTTACATAACATATGTTAATTTGTGACCAGTCCTATATGATAAAAGGAAAAATAAAGGTTAATATATGACTAATTAAAAATGACACCAATAAAAAAACAATCGCCCATGTAGGGGTTAACAATAATTGTAGTAGTCAAATTGAAAATGGTGTTTTTAGCAGTATTTTAACACTCCATCTAGATGGAAAAAAATTGTATGTTCGGTGATTAGTATCCATACCTAAAGCATTACTATGTTTACTTTTGAAAAGTGATAGATTAAACCAACATATTCAATCATTTGCAAGGAAAGGATCACGGTATGGTGTTATTTTCTTACTTTATTTTGGTAAAATGTTCAAATTAAGTTGTATGTAAATTTGTTCTTAGTTTATACACACTAATCATAGTATCCTTATTACTATGTTGTGTTGTGTTGTGGAAATAACTAAATATATATCGCCTACACTCATCCATCAGAAAAGAGCGACTACGATCCCTCAACCTCAGATCACAAGTGAAAGTTGGTGGATATTGAAGGAGAAGACAAGAAGAAGTAAAATGGCGATGTTGAAGCAAGCAAAAGAAGGATAAGAGTGAGACGACGGTCGTGGAACTTGAAGATGCCAGCAAAACCAAGAGGCAGCGTGTTGATGATGCAAGTGTCAATTGATTGGGTAATTTCTTGATGTGAACTTTTTCATTTCAGCTCTTTTGACTGGATTTTTTTTTATGTTCGTATTTGATTTTGAATCAAGGTTTCATTTGTTGTTAGTCTATCTGGGTAATTGGAATATGCATCTGTTGAGTGTTTGATCCATCAAGTTTAGATTTTTTTTTAATGATTTCTAAGGATTTGATGCACATCTTAGTATGTTGGTTCCAACTTTTGGACTGGAAATGTTTGCCTCTTATTCTGAAAGGACAATCATGCATTAAGATGCTAACATTAATTTTTACAACCCACATGTTAGCTAGGGATGATCAACATAAGACGCATTATGAAGATTGATTTGTAGATTTATTTAGTAGACAACCCAATAGGAAAGGAGGCTGAAATAAAGTAACAGTGGTGAAAGTACAGTTTCTATCAGTAAGAAGTCGAGGAATCCAGGCCAGATGATCCATTCTAGATTCTTGACTTCTGGGGAACAATGTCATGAAACAATAACTGGACTGAGGATACAATGCCACTCAATATATACAAAAAGGAAAATGGTAAAAGGGCAAATAAGGATTTCCATACTCTTGTGCCATTTAGCTTATGACCTAGATGAATCATAATCACTCGTCATTAATTTCACTTGCCACGGAGAAAAACAATGAGCCGGATTAGGTAGTAAAGATGAGAGTTCACCTCTGATAATTAAATGAAGCTGATTGAAATTACAGATCCGCAAGGGATGAGATCAGATTTCGTGCAAAATTATCTGCCAGAGGGATAAAGAAGTAATCTTTAGCAATTAGTATAAATTAAAAATAAAGAATAATGGTAACTTTTAAGCTTAACTTACATTTTGATGACTCGAGAGGGAAGACAGTCGAGGGAGGAGTAAACGACGATCTTCGAGGGACGACGAGCTTCAAGGGACGACGATCTTCGAGGGAGGAGTCGACGACGAGCTTCAAAGAGGAGTCGACCACGAGATTCGAGGGACGACGAGCTTCGACGGTGGAGTGAACGACAAGCTTCGAGGGAGAACGGTGAAAACCCTAGCTCTAGAATCCACTTGGAGTCGGATCTGAAGGAGGAGAGAGGAGAGAGGAGCCGATGTAAAAACTGATGATAGAAGCGAAGGAGGAAAGTGAAAACCCTAACCTAGGACCCACTCTTACATATTTATATGGATAGCATTTGTAAATTAAAATTTATATAAGTAATATTTGTAATAAGTTCAATTAATATGACTACCGAATCGAACGGTTAATAAAACTATCAAAGATATATTTGGTTAAATTCTATTAAAAAGTTATCGAATCGAATGGTTAATGAACTACCGAATCGAACATACCTTTGGTTATATTCTATTCATTTATAAGCCAAACCCTAAAAATTATTTGTTTAGTACTAAATGAACTATCGAATCAAACTTGATCGAATATCTGGACGAATAATAACCGAATTATTTATTAATTATTCGGTTCACTTACATCACTATACTTCACATCTAAAGCAGAATACTTTATTTTGGTAACATGTTCAATATTTGCAGAAAATCTTTTAGAAACTGTGCTTTGCACGTGTCTAAATACTAATAAGATATAAATGTTTTGAGTGAAAAAATTGGGCGAAATCCTCCCACCAATTTTTTTTTTTTTTTACAATATGTGCAAAACATTCTTAACATCAAACATTTATGGATGTCATCGTTAAAGGTACACAATATTTTACTAGTGATCATTATATTTTATTTTCGTGTGTGTATGTGTTTGTCTATATATATACATCATACTATACTTCTTTTAAAAATACGCGTTTGGAAAAAAATTTCTTGGTTAATATTAGAACTATCTACCAAGTTAGGATAGTATAACTAATCGTAATTAGAGTCCAAACCCAATCATGCTTCTCAACTGATTAGAGTCATCACGAACTCAACAAATATATCATTATGTGCCATCAAAAGTGATAGAAAAGATATAAAGGTCAGAAAAAGGAAAGAAGATGGTTTTATTTTATTGTGGAGGGCACTTCTAAAAAGTTTGATCACATAAAAAGGTGAAAATTAAAAAAGGAATCATTAAATAATAAGAAACTCATCCCGCAAATTTTTGATCCAAATGCTAGGTCTTTTTTCTTTAAATAATAAAAAAACTCATACCGCAAAAATTTGATACGTGAACAGAATTGTTTTTTTTCTTCTAAAGGAGAAATTCTTTAGGATACCATCTTTTATTTAAAACAATGAATGAAGTAGATTATTCCAATCTAGCAGGCTGTATAGATAATTTACTTAATCATTCTTTCTTGTTGTTTCATGTTAATTCAAGTTTTTGTGGAGTTATCCATAGACATTACAAGCAAGCTCTGTTTATAGTGACGAAGGAAAGAACTCTCTAATAATCTCGTTTGCTGAGCCACGTACACGAGAGACACGTGAAGGCGCGTGCGGGCAAGGGACTTCCATAGTTCACCAGAGGTAAGTTGTCTGGTTTTTTTCTCAGAAAAAAACCTTGATTAGAATAATATAATGGATAATCTAGACGTGATCTGATCTCAGTTGCTTGTTTGTATTTACAAAAAAAAAAATTTGTAGCAATTATATATACTGCAGTTACAGCAGTCATGTAATGGAACTAATGACATGCACTAATCATTTATTTATTTGTTGTTTTTTCTTCAGACGAAAAACTTATCAAGATCATTTGTATTAATCATATAGTTGGATTATCATATATAGCTGAATATGGAAGTAAACCGTAGTAAATAAAAAGTAAACAGGTATATATTTTGTCAGGGGGAAAAATTATAAAGCTCCTGAAGTACTGGATGTTAATTGTTTTTGTTTCACTTCAGAAGAAAATAGGAAGATCTGAAGAAACAGACGTGAAGTTTCTTGATAAACCCTATATGAGTCCTGTATAACATCATCACTACATAGAATTGCAGTATTTGTCCTCAAAGAGAAAATATAAAACAAAAAGATAAAAGCAATGCACATCTGTAGCTCTGTTCAGAAAATTATGTTTTTTTTTGGTGAACGGATCTTCTTCATAATTTTTTTTTGGGTGAACAGATCTTCCTCAGGGGACGAACATCGCAAGTCTGGGTCATTGCTTTTGTTTTCTGAAAAAGAACCATAATCAGATTATCTCCAATTCAATCAGAGCACAAATAAAATCCACTCTGAAAAGTGAAATACAACTCTCTTCTCATGATAATAGATGGATCTTATCATTTAGTTCATATGGGCAATTTTCTCAGTCTCTTGAGATTCAATGACCACAAACTACTTCCTTAGGAACAAATAGAAACGAACAAACCAACCAAAAAATGGATTTTATAAACTCAATTAAAAGAAACCTGATTTCACAATGGTGTGGAAGTTCAATATACAATGATTTCTCATACATACACAAAAGCTTAATGACTGTAACCGAGCACAATTACACAAACATACATGGGGCCATTAACAACCATACTCAATCGTCATCCATTTCTCAAGTTGTCTTTTGCTGAAGATCTCATTAGCATCAATTAGAGTCCAAGTTTTCAGCTTCAATTCCATGATTTTTCTTTAGTTTCGCCACAAGGACCCACATATTAGCTAGCTCATTCTCCAGGAAAGCTTCTTTCTGTTTCGACTCCTCAACTTTTTTATGTAGCTCAGCTTCTCTCAGCTCCTTCTCTCTGAGAGCAGCTTCAAGCAACAACTCTCTCTCGTGAGAAATTGCATTTACTTCTCTCTTGGTTTCTTGCCGTCTAATTTGGCCATCTCTTCTACTAGGTTTTGGTATGTTGCTTGTTCTTCTCTGTGAATTTCTGAACGATGTTAACTCTGTAACCAACCTCTCGTTGTCTTTCATGAGCTTGGTGACTTCTTCTGATAAGGCTTTCAACTCGACACCCGCAGCAGAAGCCAGACCTTTGGCATATGTGCTCTCCTCCATTAGTTTCTGGTTTTGGGTCTCAAGTTGGCTTTTAGATTCTGTGAGTTGAGCTACTCTTAGCTTCAGTTCTTCAATCTCAGATGCCTGTAAGATAAAATTCCAATGTGGACATGTAACCGAAGAAAATGAAAGAAAGGTATCTATGACATGATACAGGTATGAACAGCATAAATTCATCATTAAGCCTTATTTTTATCATAAGAAGTCAACTTATGGAGCACTGTTCCAAAGGAAAACAAGACTTCACAATTTCATGACAACCTTGTACCAAATCTGCATGCTGCATTTCAAGCAAAACAATCATGAAGAAGTGAGGATGTATGCTTAAAACCTTTATTAAAGTATATTTGCAGACCTTTGGTCAAGCATTAAACTTTTGTGGTGATAGAGAGGTGAGCATTTCACTAGCAAGACATCAACAAAACATTGCCAAGAGGAAAAGACTAAAATCATATCACAGACTCACAAGATGTATCCTACACGTCTCATCAGATCACCAATGAACCCTTTTTGCCTAGATCCATTCCCAAGTCCTAGTCACACACCCATTCTCCATCATATTTACTCCAAGAAACTGAACTTATATGTTTCTTGAGCATACAAGCAACTAAAAAGCGATCTTTTCAGCAAATTTTGATTGACTACTGTGCATGTAATGTTGCGTCATCACTCAGTGGTAATTCAATCATACAAGTATTTCGCAATACCGACTAAGCAATCCTAATATTAGTGTAAATTTTCAGATCTTCCTCCTTTAGTAGGATGATCAAAAAGACATGAAGGAATATAATTTGCAACTACAAAGTAAGATCCATAAGAGGTATCCTCAAGGATTGTGCAACATGTATAACACTAGCTAAAAACAATGAACCAGAAGCTATGGAAGCTTGTATCTGGTTTTCCCAACGGGCTAATGCATTCCCTTGCTATCAACATGAGAACTTTCAGCTTCTTTCTTTGTGCTACTATGGGTAGCATTTACCCATAAGAATATAAATGCACCACATAATGGCAAGCTACTAAGAAAATTTGTTATTCATGGTTTTTATAAACGTGCAAAAGTACAGTTATTAGTCATCATACTACCAGTTATAAGGCAATTTGTCCTCTGATAGCATGCACCAGTATCTATAAAGGAGTAAATCTCATATAGTTCCACCATCTATAGGTTCAGTGCTATGTAGGTTACCCGGACACTTCATACGGGCTCCTGTATCCGTAGCCAACATTTCTCATATCCATGTCTGTATACGACATTCTTTGGACACCTCTCAAATATATACATACATTTATATGATCATGTACTCAATTATATATACATGTATTACTTTAAAACACTCGTGATACACTTCTTGGATGTATATCTTACACTTCACCTCGTATAAATGCGCACATAATGCCAAGCTACTATGAGAATTCATTATTCATAGTTCTTATTAACGTGTAACACTACAGTTATTAGTCATCATAATACCAGTTATTTGGCAACTTATCCTCTGACAGCATGCAAGTGTATCTATAAAAGGGTAAATTTCATATAGCTCCCTCGTATATGCCTTAGTAGCACTTGGCCCCCCTGGCCCCCCTCAACTCAATTATTAGCATTTGTTCTCACTTGGGTTGGCCACCAACTTGACAGCAAGTTGCTCTCGATCATCAACCCCAGGAGTGGTAAGTGCTAATAAATGACTTGTGGGTGAGAAGTGCAATCGAACATATAGATGAGAACTATGCTAGTACATGAAGGCTATGACAACATAAAGACTGGCTACTCTAAAATTAATTTCGCACATAGCAACACGCCTCGCAACAATTAACTCAATTTTCAACCTAAGTTACTGCAGCTATGGCTGTAATGCCATAAACAAGCATCATTAACGACACATGAGATGTAGAAACTACGTTTATAGGAAAAACAAATTATATCATCTGGATAGAAAATAACAATAAAACTACAGAAGTATATGTTGGACAAATGATGATACCATCTAGATAGAAAATAACAATAAACTATAGAAATATATGTTGGACGTCAATAGGACTCACCATGTGTGCATGTTGCAGCAACTCTGTAGTACCTTGTGATGATATTCCTTTATTTTCTTGCATATGCTGTGGTTCAGCATTTGCTAGTCTGGAATTTTTTGTATCTAGAGCCTGTGCAAGCTGCAAATTGAGGGAAGTAATTGTTTCCTGTAACTCTCTGCATTCACATATCTGGGAAAGACAAACATACTTCGGCATCAGTACAAGGCATTAACTACTAACTAGTACTAATACTACAAGCAAAAAAACTGGCTCTGACCTTTTGTTGCAGTTGATCTTGGATGACTCTATTATCTGCAGTTTTGACCTGGGCACAATAACAGAATACTGTCTTTGAACTTTAACATTTTAAATAAAATTCGAGAAGGCAAATATAGGTATTTAGAAGAAATTTTATCCACAGAATAAAACGAACTCGTTATCTTTAGTAAAAATAAATACAAGACAACAATTCCTGGTAATTATAGATATAGATATTTAAGAAAAAAAATCATATAAAAGTTCATACCTCGAGCTCGAATGATTTTTCATTCAATTGTTCTAATATTTCGGCATAAGACTGCAATAAAACAATACTGATCAGTGATATTGAAAGCAACAAGCAAGAGTCTCCGAGATTAACAAGGCCTTACTGGTGAAAGTCCTAATTTTTCCATGTCATTTTGAGATGAGATTGACTCAGCCATCTGCTTCTCTAAAGAAGCTATCTGTTGGTTCTTCATCTTTATCTCATCTTTGACCTTTCTAATGTCCAACTGCAAATTCAAAATATTGAGCTGCAATTAAAGAAAAAGGATATTAATGGGAAAGGATTCAAGATCTGAGAGATTTACCTGGATTTGTTCCTTGTTAGGGCTATTCACTGCCTCATCTGAAAGACGCTTTAAAACACTTGAGTGAAGTGCTACTTCTCCAGATAAAATCTTTACTTGCTCTCTTAGTAAATCAACATGGTCAATGGTTTTCATGCTAGTCTGGCATCAGAGTCATAAAAATTAACTCACTATAAAATGATACGACACAATAAACCAAAACAGCAGCTATGTGTGAGGAATTCTAATAAACATGCAAAAGAGAGATGCTACATATTTCATTTCATTCCTCCATTCAAACCAAGAACAGTCAAACAATCTCCTTTGATGGTGAACACATGAGAAAAAAAGAGAATGTTAATGTTTACAGACTTATTAGCTCCCACAGTTCCATCCAGAGAATGTAAACTACTGTACACTGAAAATTATATGGGCATAATCTTGACCAGCAACAAGATAATTTCCCGCTTTAGTGCACCACTGACACTGCTGATGCTGGGCTTTGTTCGACAAGCAATCTCGCAGGTTCCTAAGCGGAAAAGATGGATCAAAGTTTTTGATCGTGCAACATTCTTTGGGACAATTATGTGATATAATGGTCCTCAAAGAAAAAGACATGATATACAGTGTCCAGGACAATATGGCAGTTGCTGACATGATAGAATTATTCATGATACATAGGGTGAAACAAACAATTCCTTATAAACATAAGAGCAAACACGCATGGAAGTAAATATCAGAAGTTAATCTTCAAATGTTCAAATGGGCATAATACTGGTTCTACAAACACGGACTTCAAGTCATAAGAATAAGGGGTTGTGCACACCCTACTTATCCCATTTTAATAATATGTGCATCATGAATATTTACAAATCGACCCATCTTTCTAAGACATGCTGCATAAGAATACTTCATCTAAGTAATTCTTTTTAATAAAACTGAAGATTTATACACTACAACCAATAAGAAAATTGGCTAATTATGCTAGGCAATTAGTGAAAAAAATGCACATTGCTACTGATAAAGAATAAATACTCAATTATCAAATAACTAGTCATGTGGGATACATTACCATCAAATTGTTGGCTTTATTTACAAAATAAATATATTAACTTGGGAAAACATGTCACAACCCCGGCTAAGATCTAGTTAAGTTAAAGAGATTCGTAGTGATTTCCTCAGTTACACCACATTCTAAAAAAATAACGTTTTGATGTTAACTCCATTCATCTGTAGAATACTCAGATTTGGACTGCATAGTGATTTTTGCTCTAGCATCCATCTGTTTTTATGTGGATCATAAATCTTCATGCAAAAAAGTTATTAACACAGAATCTGTCTCTGCATGGAAGTATACAAGAAATATTCATACCAGAGGTGTTTCCTGGAGAGAAAGATTGCTTGGATGCACTCCATCATGGTCCACATCCAAGAGAGAATGGACATGAATATTCTCTGGATCTATGGAATTGGAAATTCTCGTCTCTATAGGAAATTTAGTGCTCCCTGCTTGAGGAGTTGAAGGTGCTGTTAATGATTTCGTCCCACTTGATTTATCGCCATCGGAACTTGTCAGAGTTGTCAAACCGCTTTCTCGTTTCTGACGAGACATAAAACATAAAGTTACATAAATGATAGGATTTAAAAGTACATTGTTTGAAAGCAATATGAACGTTCAATTACAAAGTTCCTTGAGAGAGTTTTCGAGTGGATACATATATTTCAAAAAATTATCAAGATTTCTTACGAGAACCTTCAATCTTTTTCCTGCCTGAAATATATCTTGTAGCTACTTCTCAGTGTTGTACTTGATGCATATGAATGGGACAGATATAAAAACAGAAGAAAACGGATAAAAAGATTACGGATGTAATTATAAATCATTAACTTGGAAATAGCACGAAAAAGATTAGATGCGGTTGCGGGTTGAACCTTCATAATGGGAACTGGGTTCAATGGCTCTATTTTGGGCTCTTAGATTCCACAGAAGCTGCTAAAGTTTTTTTAATAGACGACAGTATAGAGAGGATGAGGTGTTTCTCTGAGGTGTGTTTGATGGAAAAAGTCAGAATATAGAGAAAGCAGGCAAAAAGCCTACAAGAAACAAAATCCTAAATCCAAGGAGTCAAATTATCCGTGTCATAGCAATTTGTAGGATTGCCAAATTCACAGTAGCACAGTGTAGATGTCTAATTATAGAAGGCAGTAATAAGTGATCGCACACCTGCTTTAAATCAAAACCAGCATGTATACAATTCTGTCACATTTCCCATGAAAAGCACAAAGCTAGTTTGCAAGTCAACTCTTCTTATATTATGACCATAATCAAGCTTGTCTTTGTGTCCTTAATAATTACAATCATGTGTTTCCAATTAAATTGGGTGATGTATGGCCATGTAGATAACCACCTTATGTTTCCAGTGAGTTTGGCCAATAATATAGTAACCATAACAGCTGCATTACCTGAACATGAGAGTCACACAAGCTAATAGGGGTATCCCAATGCATTTGCACTGCACACATATGTACAGCTTAACCCCTAACAAGAAGATATAGAAGCAAATGCTTCACGTTCAAATTCATGATAAACAAACCATTAGAAAATCCACTGCCATCAAGTTTGAAGAACTTTATTTGAAGTGCTCTAACAAAAATATAAATATTGAAGTTCTTTTGTCTATATGCATCAGGAATGAGATAACCAGAAGTAGCTTGTTTCTAATATCAACAATTTGGGAATACCATTGAAAATCCAGATTTTATACTTTGATATCTTTTTGCACAAGAATTTTGTTGGCACAGAAACATCAGAGACCATAGATCTTAAACAGCTTGTAAATCTCTTCTTGTGGCTGCTTGATGCACTAGAAGAAAAGCTTAAAATCTTGGATTTGATTTTAATCACTTCAAATGATGTGGACTAACTTGAATGGAATGAATTTTCTGTTTCAATTGCCTAGGATTCACACTCCGTATGAATTTCCTATCATGAAAATAGCAACAAAGTTTTACCTCTAACGGGTCAACATTATACAACTAGTATGCATGAAGCTCTTTGTTTTCACAGATCTCTTTGTCTCTAACTATATTCTTTAATGCTATCTGGGTATACACAATGCGATTAACAATCATAAGCATGTAATCAACACCATGCAGTCAACCACTAATCAACATAAATCAAATGAGTTCTTCCAATGATCTTTGTACATATGATATCCTCCAGAAACATAAGAAATTAATTCAAATCTGTGGAAAGCACTTAATAAAGAAAAAAAGTTAAAGTGATGTGTAAAATATGCCATGGTCACTATGACATCAGGGAACATTTACCCGTAACTTAAACCAATTTAGCAGGCCATGCTTTCGGTTCCTTTTCTCCTCTTTACAACCATCATCCATGGTTTCACCATACCCTTCCACTGGACTAAAAACATCGCTGTGTTCACTCTCCAACGTCATATCACGTCTTCTATATGGGAGATAAGCAAGCTGCATAATTGCAAAATTTCTTATTGTAAGAAAGTTTTCAAATTAATTCAGATAAATTGGATAAATTAAATTTATGTATAAATTTGAGAAAATGTTATGCTTCAAATGTTATATGAATAGTTATAAATTGCAAAACCTCCTCTTCACCGAATGAATGCCTTCTCCTGGGACCAGGGCGTTGAGCAAATCTTGGGGACTGTGTAGCTTTTGTAGACACCAAAATTAATTTGGTCAATCGTTGTATCCTTCCCAGCAAAGCAGCTTTAGCTTCTTCTTCTTGCTCTAGTCTTGACTGCAACTTCACATGGCCATCCTCAAGCTTTTCAGATGCCAACATACTCATGTCAGAATTATAGGCAGTAAAACATACTCATGTCAGAATTACATGCGGTAATCATAGATTACAAATTAAAGTAACAGGTTAGCTGAAGATATTTCTACCATACTTAAGAATTTGGCGAAACAAAAGATAACCCAACATATGTGAATATATTCTTTAGAACGCATCTAAATCAATTCTTTAAAATGCAAGAACTTGTATCGGAAAAATGCAACACATTAATGGAACAATGCCACTTTATCTGCCAAGGAAAGAAGGGATATTGATGGTTTTATGACTGCTTCACAAGCACTTTTGCTACTGGGGGAAAAAATATGCCCCAAGATGGAAGTTAAGAGGAGCTATCCAAGAATCATCCACTGTAAAGAACACCATGGAAAAAGTCTAGGGGCTAAATTACAAGATCCATTTCTCAGTCAATTTTATCTATATGGGGAAATGTTTACAGAGCTCAATGTCTATGCACCAAGAATGATATGTTCACAATGCCCACTCATTAAAAAATAGATAAACATGGAATATGAAAATTGTAAATAATTAACACCTCTAATCGAGAATAAGAAAAAATAATGCTTACCTTTTGCTTTAAGAGGACAATGTCATCTCCTCCTATATCTTTCAAAGGACCGACAGTCAAAATGCCCCGCTTTAGGTGTTCTAGTTCTTCCTTCAAACTGCGAATCTCATTTTGATACTTCTTAATCAAGGACCTTTCATCAATAATCTGCACAAATCAGTCTACTAAGAAAATTGACAACCTTCACTCATGAAAAAAGCACGTAGCCAGGAATAAAATTGAAATATAGTACAAGCTCCTCTTTTGCAGCACATTTTCCGCTAAAATTCAAGAAATCATTTCAACTTCCAAAGAAATGTAACTAAGAAACAAAAACTCCTTTCTGGTGAAAATTTTCAACCAAAATCATAAAAATATGATATCAAGTTAAAAGGACCTTATTTTGGGATGCTTGAATCTCAATGTGTTTTGCACGGTGTGCAAACTTTAAGGTATTATGTGTTTCTTCCGTATTGCTTGACGCTGGAGTAACTGTGCAAATGAGCTGCATAAGAATAAACACATGTGAAGAATTAAAAAGCTTCATTAATATAGCAAATAATATTTTCAACTATGGTGGGTCAAAATATTTTAAAAAAAGAAACGGTCTTTAGTTTCCCCTGCAACTTGAAAGAAATAAACATACTGAAACACGGCCTTGACCGCTCAAGGAGGATTGAAGGAGCCGGGTTAATTTGGAATCCCTGTATGGAACATGTGTAGCTTTTCCATCAGTCAGTTTGGCAATAACCTGAAAATTCAAGGAAATACATTAAATTAGACCAGTGAACAAAAGGAAATTGACCTAGTGGGAAAACTCACAATAGATGATCAAAAGAAATTTATAAACAGACAGGTGAAAAAAATCAAAGGCAATAGAAGCAGCACAAAACTAGAGAAATATTAAGATTGATCCCGAAGGTAATGTTTTGAAAGATGCCTACTCAGTGAAGTGCTCACTCTTATAGTATGCCAACTAGTATGGAAAATATTCAAATATGTTAATTCAAACAAAGAGATGCAGGGGTACCATATAAAGATGCAAACTAATTGAACGTGTACTTGCACGTGGAGAAAAGGAAAGAAAAATTCAATTGTCTAGTACATGGTAGCAGGCATGTCAATTGTCTAAATCCAAAAACGAGGAAACATCTGTATACTTTTTTTTAAATGTAGTGTATACTTGGCTCATGTAATCCTATCTACTGCTCACTCTCCCTGTATCATAAGAATCTTAATTTAGGAAAATGGTCAGTGGAATAACTAGCTTTTGTCAGATGGGGCGCAACATAATTCATTATACATACTTGATACTTCTAAGAGAAAACTAGGGTCACATGGACATGGCAATTCTTTGTCAGTGTAAATGTCCAGCATTCCATAGGTCTCAAGGTGAGGAAAATTCAGCAAACCCTCACCCTTCAAACATGGGTTAAACCTAAGCTAACATCAATGTATTGGTACAGACCAAAATGTCAAAAAATTTGGCCAAACCACTACTAGTTAGCTAATCCCGTTAAAAGCGTTAAAAGGGTATATTGCAAAATATAATTCAGAACAACAAACTAGTCAGGTTTCAGCTACTGAACTTTTAAAGTTTGAACCTTGGATTGGAGCCTTAAAGCAAATTATGTGTTTTACGTATGTTTTTTGTGTTTTAAAGGCAGGTGCAAAAGTCAAGTGCCGAGCACCTAGGCGACTAGTCGGCAGTTAGGTTTCAAGATTTCATTGGGTACTTCGCTTCCTAAATGCTAAACATAACCAATAATTTTTTTACATTATAAGTCGTTCTCAAGTTCATAATCATAAGCAAGATTCACAAGCTATTCTACTAAAAATGCAATAGGAAGGTATAATGAAAATTAAGAAATTACATGTAAAGAATAAGTACATTGCCAATATGGTTTCCTTTGGTATTGTGATGACCAAAAGTTATACAAATCTCATTTGTTTATCTAAACATTCCTCGCCACCAATCCCACTGATGAGAATGCACATATATTTAATTTTTTATGGAGAGGTATCCATTTAAGGGGAAGACAGTAACCAACTTCGGACAGCAGTGTCAAAAGATGATAAGGTTAAAGTGCAGTTTTTCCTTATAGAATAAAAAGGCTGAAGAGTTTTACAGCACTTGGGTTTAGGACCTACATTCCCAGGCTGTTACTCTTCAAAGGATGTTCTCATACCCCTCAGAAGGTTGCCAATATTAGATAGTAAAAGATGGCATAAGGCTATCTAACCAGAGTAACTGCATATTTAGGATGGCGATTGATAATTGGGACACAAAAAGCATCCTATGATATATGATAATAATATGATAGAATCAGTCACCACTTCTAATAATACATGTACTCTTATTGTATTGCATAATAGAACTTTTTTTGGATAGGAGGAGAAGGCATAGGGTTTTTTTATTTATCATTATATAAGTAGGAGTGTAGGACACCCTTTGCTATCCAACACACAAGCAGGACATCATTGTGTAGATTTTTTCCCTTTGAAGAAAGAATTATTTCAACTAATGATGACCTAAATTATTATCTTGGATAATTCAAGAAAACATTTCGTATTCCACCTACCATCTTAATCTATCCTTCTTAAGCTATGTGGCGTTATGCAAAATTTTGAAAAGATTTGTGATACAAACTCCTCAACCAAACACTAAGAGTTCCAAAGTTAAGGGAACTGTACAAGTTCAAAAACATACAATATCACGCTAATCGATTGCATTCTTAAGAAAATTACAAATTTATTAAATGTATAGTTATAAGGCCTCACCGTTCCAAGAGTTAACAGGCTTTTGTTGATGTAGGCTCCTTCTTTCCTACGTACACCAGTAGTTTCAGCCCTCGAGCTCTCTGAACCTGCCAGATCGATGAGGTTCTGCAGATATAAGTAGATGCAAAATGGTATAAGAAATCAATGAATGATATTCTTTCATATGCTGAAAACGTGAGGCGGTGGTACATAAATGGCAATCAGCATTACTATCAGCATAAGTTAGTAACACATTCGCCATGAAAAACACGGGTAGAAGTGATTAGATAGTCAAAAGTAAAGCATTATGGAGGACTTACAAGCTGGGAAAGGTTAACTGCTTCACCTTCACTATATTCACCACAGGGGCTACTTTCTATTGTCTGTTCAAATGCATCAAACAGCAAAATATGAGTAAAAACTATATATTTAAATATTCTACCAGTTAAAACTCAATCATCAAGAACAATCCATTTGCATATGTATGGTTCAACACATTGGACTAAAGAAATTAAAGAACAAAACATGGAATCAAGTCAGGTTTTTAAAACATGGGTTTTCTTCTGGTTAAATAACCGTGTTATTAATGTTAAGTTGTACAATCTGCTCCAGGTCAAACATAAAACTCACTCTCCTGATATGGATGTAACACATCCATAATATATGTGTCATTGACTTGTCCTGTCGAACGTTTATGGAATAAAGCAGATATCAATAGCATATATGTACATGTTTGTTTTGCGCATTGGCAGATGGTGGACTGTAGAAGAATGCATGTAAATAAGTAATGCCGGGTTTGCTGCACTCCTATGTTCCCCAGAAAAAGGTCATAAACAGTAACTGTTACTCCAACCTTTTCCTTGTCAAAGTGAACCATGGGAAACCATTATCATCAGCGCTATAGGATTTCATGTACTTCTGATTTCACTTTACTTGTAACAATCAAAGAAGTAAACTAACAGAACTCTCTGATTTCATTTACCATGCTGCCGCTTCCTATAACAATCCAAGAAAATTTGGTGGTGGGGAGATGATGAAGGAGAATAATAAAGGCGCTTGTTTCTTTTTCTTTTTTTTTTATTTTTTTTTCTTTTTTTGGTGGGGGGGGGTGGGTTGAATTCAGCTCATTGTCTACATTGGAACCTGCCACACGCCCTGTGGGGATGAATAAGTCCAGAGTCTGGGCTGAAGATTAATTTTTACACTATTGATCATTGCTATAATATGGGTGTTTCCTAGCAATTAAAATTCCCTTCATGTCAATTGGCATCTCAATGTTAACTATATCTATAAGGTCAGTTAAAAAAAAAACAGAATCTATTGGAATTTAAACCGAAGCAATGAAAGAACACAATTTGGGATGAAAAATTCCGAATGAGGCAACTTAAAGAAAATAAAATAATAAAGTAATTGCTATACATTGGCAATAATGCCAAACTTAATGGAGAACCAATTTACAATACATTAAAGCATGAATTCCAATAAAGCAGTTAACAAGTACCAGTGTAAATATTGTGTGGCTTCTGCTGCTTAGTAAATTGAAGTTGTTAGATCCAACATGTCTATGCTCTGCCACAAGGTCAAAAAACAAGGAAGGTTATAAGGATATAAGACCGGTGTCATATTATCGCATGCCTGTAGCTCACACTTCATCATCAAGCAATGTTCATGTTGAAGCATGCGTTCAAAGAGACACTTTGCCATGCCAGTGCCATTCTATATGCTCTATGTTAGAATATGATGTATGTCAGAGTGTCCTGTCATGTCCATGCTCATGTTTCTTAGCAGCACACGGAAGTATATATTTGCAGTTACATGCAGTTACAACTGCCATTGTTGTTTCCATATCCAGAACATACCAAAGGGTAGCACATTAAGATAGGACTTTAAATTTCAAGTATTCTTATGAAACTGTTACCGATTTACAAGCATATAGCATGCAAAGTTATATTGTCGTAAACAAATACAAAACTGAGTTTTATCCAGTCACCGCAGCGAGGACCAATTTGGATCTTGTTTCACTTTCACAAGCTGATAAACTCTTGAGACAGTTAACAAGTCATAATTGAAGAACAGAAAGTTTGACCGGCAATAAATTAGCTAATATAATAAAATAAAGTCTTAGTATTTTACGTGTAAAAAAAGCATTGGCAAAAAATTGAAAACCGTTCAAACACGTTCTGCCGAGAAAAGAGTGAATACAATGTTCAAAACAACTTAAATTGATCCATCTGATGATTGCCTAGATAACCACATAAAGGTGGTTATTACAGGATCCAACCTATTTGAAATTAATATATATTCTCAAGTATGCATCTAATTATTCTTACTATTTAGCAAAAGAAAAAAAAAACAGTTGACCATATCATATATCAAAATTCAAGTTTTACCATTGAAAAGATCAAAGGATACGAATATGCAAAAGTATCAGAAGGTCTAACATAACCAATTTGTTGACTGGGTTTACTCTTTACGAAGCCTTACCTTCACCATACGCAAACTGATGAATATATATTCTCAACTATGCATCTAATTACCCTTACTATAACCCAAAAGATTAAAAAAACAGTAGACCATATATCAATATTTCACGTTTGGGAGCAATCATTCAAAGGATGGAGAATATGAATATGCAAAAGCATCAAATTAAGCCATCTAACAATAAACCTTTTGTTAACTGACTTGGGTTTACTCCTAAGAAGACTCACCTTCACCAGCTGCTATCAGAGACAAAGCATGAGCAGGGGACAATACAACTTCCTCCTTAATTCCTTCTACAAAGGTTCCCTGAAAGCAGAAAAGGCAAGTTCACCAATTAAAATAAAACAAAAACCTTGACCCCAATTTATATGCCAAATAATACTTTATGGAGTATGACCACTTTCACATGAATGAATGGAAATAAATGGAAGGCTAGGTACCTGAAGATCTTCCCTAATTCTTAGATTCTGGCCTGCTGGATTCAGCAAGTCATTAACAACCTGAACAGAAAAGAGTTCATTAAGCACTTTATGGCATAAACCATGTCATTAAAAAGGGCATGGAGATTGAAACCAAAGTATGGTAACTAATAAAAACGAACTTGATTTTACGTGATATGAGATCAATACCAAGTAGAAAATACTAACTGAAGATATGAAATTAATTTAGAATTTTGAAGTCCAAATGTAAGAATCTAAAACAATAATAATCCTCCCCATGACCATTGCTTCCACCTTTATAAACTTTTGCACTTTACTACAAAACAAACTTGCACCATAGAAGGCCTCTTCTGACCTGTGTTTTAACTAAAGTTATTAAACTTGTGAAGCTAATTCACTATTATGCGGCGAGATCTTTAGTTTAATATATAAAATTTATGCTCTGGATTTAATTTTTCAACTACCATAAGCATACTCCCTCTTCTTGTTTAACAAGATCCTCTTATCGATTGCAGTACTCAACCAAAGCATGGAAATAATGGTGCTTGGTCATCTATATAATCTTTATATCTACTTTTACCCACCTCCGAAATACTTTAATAGCAGGCACTAATTCCTTCACTTTATCTGATAAACTACCACATACCTGTGCTGCAGGTATTCATAAAATCATCATTAATAATGTCACATGAAATGGAGTCACTATGTAGCGCAAGGCTTCATGAAAATTTTGACATGTGACTGGTGCACTCGATAAATTCCAATAAGTTGTCTTATGTATGGAAGTATTGGTCCTTGCCGTCAACAAGAGAAATAATAGTAATCTACACCTCTTCATTTACTAGCAATGTCGTCTCAATGTTAATCAAGTTATCAACGTTTACCCACAGAGCTACAGGTTTAAGAATCAACTGAACGATTGCAGGAATGTATGTACATTTACCCATGACAACCTTAGCTGAGAACAGAAGCAAGTTGGTAAAGGTATGGTAAGAAAAAAATGGACTTATAAGTTTGCAGTGTTGTCAGTCTTTAAGATAAGATAAGAGAGAATAACTTCAATTGCGAGGACAAGAATAAAAAGAGATGGATGAGTGCTGGTTAGATAAGTGATAGGAAGTACAATATGACCAACTAGAACGTGGACCAAAAAGAATCTATATCAGAAAGTTAAAAAAGACACACTAGTTGCCACCTTAAAAGTTACCCCTTAAAGAAGATTGGAGATACTGAGTAATTTGGCTGAAACCAACACTTAAGGGTGTTTTGCTCTTACTATTCCAGATGAGAACATCATAATCTAAATTTATAGCGATGTTTGAAAGGTCATCTAGTGGGTTCTCAGGGATCAAGAGGTTATCGATTTGGGCTTAGTTGCTACACCGAATGTCTTAATCTTATTTCCATGTGCATATTTTACATAGTGAGGCCAAGCTTTCCTTACGTACTTCTCTATTTACATTAATAGGACTATGTGGGTGGGAAGCATATGATCCAAAGTCTTCTCTGTTTCGATCTTGCTATTAGAATGCTCTGCCATGGAACTCACAAGGTTCATTTCTCACATGTGAGGAGGATGCACAAAGCTTTCCCTCCAGAAAGCCAATTCTTCTTGCAATACTATTCCTACTATATGGTTCTGCCCTGGGACCTTTATATCTGAATCGTCACATAGGAAGATTGTTTAGAATGGAAGCAACAAAAGAAAAGTTTACCAAATTAGGCCATTTATGCAAGTTACACCTATTTAACAAGTTGGAAGATACAAAAGGTATATGTGGCTCCAAAGGCAATTTATAACATATTTGGATAACATAAATACAGCGCCAGCTATTATCGAGTATTCAACCAACAGATCAGATTCCATATATACAAAGCATCTGAAACTCAAAACTGTTACATTATTATACTGATTAGAAACAAAGAAACACAACCAAAAGTAAATACAAAGTTACAAACCTCATTATATATTTCCAAATATGAGACACGAAGGAGAAACTCGCGGCTTGGAGTCTAGAATAAAAAGAATAGACATAAACTGGATCAGTTGTTTGAGGAGTTGGTACATTCATAATATTGAAGCATACACACAGCAGCAGAGATCCTATTCCAGTACCTCCTGTATGATACTAAATGCATCCTTTACAGCTAATGGTATAATCCCAGGCGACCTTTGATCTCCCTGCAATTCATCCACCGTAAAAAAAAAAGAACATTATCTAGTTTACGTTGTATTCATATGATGTTACCCAGACAATACTATATATATATAAAGAAAGTAAGGTGAACATTCGGGATAAACTGCACAAGATGTCTATATTTGAATTTCACGTCCGTAATATGATTAAATACTAATAAGAAGGTAAACAAATTTCTAAAAGATTAAAGTGCACCCTCATGAAAATTAAGCGATTTTATTGGAACATTTGTATAATTATTCAACTAGAAATTACTAAAAGCTCCAGATAAAGCTAAACTGAGACAACAAAAGCATTGGTAAGGGAAGGGGAAGTATCTCATTTATTGACAAAAAACATTGTAAAACAGATTTTCCTTCTTACATGATAGACATAAGTTACCATAAGTAGGCTGAAGAGAAGTTATAAGAATCCTAGAACAAAGAGAAGTCTCGGTATGTGGCTAAACTATGCTACAACCATGGCTCTTTCTACATCCAGAGCAATGTCGGCTTAATTAGAAAAACTGGAGTTATATTTAAGTTATGGCGACAATTTATGTACAGTGTTCTAAAACATGTCTATTAACAACATCAATGCTTCTAGCATTATGACTCAAGGCATCAGAAAATCTTGAGAATATGATTCATGTTGAAACTCCAGGACATATCAACTAAGCGCCATGAGACAGATCACAAGTACACGAATGATTGATTACAATAGCTCTCGTATAGAAGTAGTAAGCATGCATTAGCTATAAACTATAGGACTAAAGATGTGCCAGTAGACTTCCAGGTTTAACCAAATGAAATAACTTCCACACTTCAAATAGGAAAGGAAAAAAATCAAGGTATCACGTCTTACTTTACCACTACCCATCACCAAGAACTCAAAAAGAAAATAAGAGCAAGGACAAGAAGAAAATAAGAGCAAGGACAAGAATGGAGACAATCAAAGGCCACAAATAATCAAAGGATAGTCCTTGAAAAGCAGGAAAGGTGCTCACTTCACTCTCCAAGTTTGACTACAAGACCAACAAGGCTTCTGTTGGCCAGTAGATAAAGACAAGCTAATCTTGAACAGAGGCTACCTTTGGAAAAACCAACTTATCCAATCAACTGTGCGATGACCATAATTTGCCTACCTTCTTTTATTAACTCAAGGAGACTGAGAAGCCGTGTATCTGTAGTTTATATTCGACAAAAGTTTCACAGAGCTAAAAAAATGCATGACATAATTTGGAAAGGTGACATTAGAACTAAGGTATGTAGATTGCATGATGAACATTTTTGTAGTAAGAAGTAAATCCAAAAATGGCAACCAAAAGCCTGTTAGCTCATGTAAAACATCATAACAGGACTGTAGAATGTTCGTCCTGTTTTGGTTGGTAAAATAATGTCACTTTCTCTCACGTCTTTTAAAAATTTCACCCTTCAATTTGGATTTTTTTAGCTGATAAAATAGGTTTACTACTTAAATCCAGTATGATTCTCCCAACCGCTCCTCGTAATAAAATTTGACCACTCCGGCGCTTTTTATTGCATGTCAAAAACATTCCGCTCCCAACTGATAAATTAGCTTATCATCTTAGCCTTATGTTACAATTATCGGTAGTAAGAGGTTCTCCTCTAAATGCATCTAGCCAGCTAAAAACACCAAACATCTTTGCTCTATGTAAAGTTTTAACAGAGAGCAAGATTAAGTCATTATTTGAAGTTTCACTCAATAAACTGAGGCACCACCTAACGTGGTCTAGAACTTTCAACTTCTTTAATCAAGCAATCGGCTAATGTTTCATCATAACCAAAGCTACATATGGACCGAAACAATGAAGTACAAGCATGAATTATAGAACTTCATGCTAGAACAAACTGTGCTTATTTTCGAGAAGGGGCATATAGAAAACTGTATGTTGAAAAGTTAAAGACTCACATGCATTGTGTGGGTCTTGCCACTACTCGTTACTCCATAAGCAAAAATTGTTCCTGGAAAACATAAAGAACATGTTATTTGGTAAATCAAGGGGAAAATACCACATGATCATAAGGCATTTACTAATAAAATAGGTACTTACATGTATTTATTTCTTGCAGGTCATTCATCATTGTATTGATATTTTATTCCTACATTGCTAATTTTATATCATACTCTGAACTCTTCTACACTAAAGAGAAAGTAAGTATATATCTCCAACAATCAATAATATTTACCCTTCTTGTCATAAGCTGCCTTTGACTAGTAAGGAGAACAAAGTGTAAACCTTCTCATACTGTGTAGATCCCTAAAACAATCCTATAGATTCCTTAATAAAATCAGGCCATAAGTTACACATTACCGACCACGGTTCATTGTGAACTTGTGATATCAAAATTATTCCAGCATATCAATGGGTAACTTTAGACTAATTGATATTGCAAGGATACAAAGCAGATTATAATCGCATACTTGTCTTGCATTATATATTTAAGTGAATAAGGGAAGTGGTTTCCATTTATCACTAATTCTAGGAGGAACTTTTAATTGAATACGCCTAATCAGGATGAAGATATTAAGCAGGATATGGCTTCATTCTCTTAAAATCCTTACCCAAACGGATAAAAGAAGCGTCAAACGCTATAGATGTTAGAAAGTGATACATTTAAGATATTAAACAGTGAAGCAGTATTGCATCCCCACCATCACAACCCCCACCAGTACTCTCAATGTTTGTGTGTGCAGCAAGAGAGCATGCGAGTGTGTGTTCAAAGAGAGTTGAGCCCAGCCACTTTCACAGGCATCATGGATGCAGTGACATTAACTCTAAATTACATAATCAACTGTCCAAATTGAAGATCCACAAAACTAGATGTGATCTACAACACAAACAACTCTAAAACAAAAATAAATGTTTTTAACTTTTTCCATGCATCAATTGAATATTTGTCAATACATATAAGTTTGGCAAAATCAACCAAAAGTAAACTGAATGAAGAATCATAAGTCCCCAATTTCTAACATATCTGTATACTTTAGGTAGTTCATTTTGGAGAAAATTGACTGGTACAACTTCGAGTTTAAATATAATCAGATCTACTTACCATTTACACCTTCCATAGCACCACTGACAACATGCTGAGCAGCAACATCATACACGTGATGAGTGGTCGTTGTAGGTCCAAAAACTCGATCTGAAGTGGTCACGTATTAATAAACATTTTCATATAACCAGCATTCTCTTACCTATTTATGATTTACATGGAAAAGACTGTAAAAAGAGGGCATATGTTCCCAAACATACACATATATATCAATGAATAGAATGGTAAACACATTAAACATTATAGTTTAGTTTGGAAAACATAGAACACTACTTCTGGATTCTGCAGCAGTGATCAACATTGCATTAAAACAAAACATGTTTATATACTACAGAATTTGGAAGCTAATGCCACTTGAAGAAAATGCCAATCCGGTAAAGTCTGAGACTGCAAAGAAAATCTTTTATAACATAGAAAGAAGCATCATCATCATCATTGACATCATAGAATTTTATTATAAAGGATAGGTTATGAAGGTTAACTCTATATTCAAAGGGGTAAAACAAAATTTTACTAATTTGACCGACAAGCATGATGTCAACTCTCTCCAAGTTATTCCTTCTTCACTAGAGAAAATATAGCCAAGAGAGGGTCATTCTGCAAAGCCTACTACCCAAGCTGCTGGTTCAGAAAAGCAATACTCTTGGCCCTGTGGTTTAAGCGCACGCAATCAGGAAGTTATCCACCACAATTCTTTGAAATTGAGGTCAGCAAAGAATATAGATTAGGGGGGTTTATTACAAAGCGTTTACTTTTCAAGCATCATACAAGCCAAAGAACAAACAGTGCACATGTTCCTCGTGGAAGAAGTATAGTGGAGGAAATTAGATTACCACTCTGTAATGCATTGTTATAAATTAAAGACTTGTTATTTATACTTTATTTTAAAACCTGGTGCCGGATGTAGCCATGAATGAATGCATTGCAAAAGTTTTGCCATAAATTCTAAATCCTTAAATAGGAAGAAAGAGAAGTTTCTCTACATCCTGAGAAGGTGATTTGTCTTTAACGTATTTGTGTAAGTTGTTATTGGCTGCTTGGTAGCTGTTGCAATTCCCTGCAGATATTGGACCATATATAACTGGCATTAACCAAGAATAATATTAAAATGGGAATGGAAATATTAAAATGGGAGTGATATAAGATAAACATATTTGTAAGACTTTCTAATCACATTCCAATTTTCAGTCTTGTTAGTCCCTTTTCATATGCTTCTGTACATCAACAACCCTACTCTGTGTCCCCAGGCCCCAACATCTTTATAAATCTTCCCATCATGATTTATTTTTCAAGCTCATTTTTTTCCGCAGAAATTGAAATTTTGTGTCTCCGGTAGTAGAATTAATTTCTTTAGGAAACTAGTTTTTGAATTTATGTACATGTTAATGCTTAAGTTTTTTTTTTTTTTTTTTTTTTTTGTTTNAATTTTTATTTTTATTTTTTTTTTTTTTTTTTTTTTGTTGCTTTGGAGAAGAATACTGATATGCAAGGACGAATCCCTCATAGGTACATCAAAGCACCAAAGGGTCATTTACTCTTAGGATAGCTTTCAGAGTTCCAGATGATCCTTTTCTGATAAGCAAGCCATTGCATTAAAAGCAATAAAGCTGAAAGCTCTAAGGCAGGCTTTTCAACCAAAGAAAAGGAATTCGGATATATGATGAGGCAAAAGAAAAATGCTAAAAGAAAGATAGGCAATCTCTTATGAGCAGTGATTTCAGTATTCTTCTACAACTCACCTGTCGTATGTAATTTGTAGTGATCCCTTATTGGCTATTGCCCTCAAAAAGAAGTTCAACTGTGTCTTGATGTCAATCACCATTCAGCAGGTTGGAAGTTAATCAAGTAATTATCAAATAGTTTCATAATTATTCATTTCAAATGAGAAGAAATTTGAAGAGAAATCAAACATTTATTGGTATCCGTACATTAGACAAAGTCAATATTAGAATTCACATCACATATTTAATTTGCATGCTTATTGAATTTTTGCTAGTACATTGCTGCTTATGTAGCAAGGGTGTCTCTATGAAGCCATACCCATATCAGACACTGAGTAGCATGGATATTTTTATCATGAGCGGGACGACTTAAGGATGCAATAAATCAGTAACATGTTGAGTTAATAAGAAGATAAGTACCACACAGTACAAAATCATAATCTCTACTAAGAAGGTGCGTGACAACAATGCTGTGACCATGTAGATAGTTAATTTTTAGAGTTCTAGAAAATCCAAAGGACCTGCATTAAAACTTTAGTTGATGAACCTGTAACATTTTAAAAGAGCGAAATTCTTTGCAATGTGCCTAGCTGTGATAAGCAGAGCATTAGTAATGTCAGAATCAGCACGGACAAAGTGATATCATGATACTGCTACGAGAAAATGTTAACTCAAAGTGCATCCAACCCAAAGCGTCCTTAATGTCTATTCAATAAATCTTCCGCACTTTTCCAAGTGCCCAAGGAAGAAAGATGTCCAGAGAAAAGAGTGTCCAAAATGCAGAAACATTGATACAACTATACAAGAACCGAAGTATAAACAAGCATCCCATCAACAACTTTGACAAAGCTTCAAATTACCTATTCATAAGATACATGCATATTCTAACATGCAACCATAGGTACTCCTGATAGAATCACGCTTATTTAGCTGAAATTATGTCTGAATTTTTTGTATTGCCAATGAATATGACTTAAATCTTCCGGCGCTAAATTAAACGTTATGCAAATTCTAGTAATTCTCAAGTCCTCAAAGAATGCTGCGCTTCATGCACCATTAGCTGCAACAAAAGTAGTGTAAAATTCATCAAAAATAATCTCAGTGAAACACATTGACACTCACCGTATGCATACGCCACCAATGGATTATGCTCGCTCCTCACGAGCGTATCCCCATCCGCATACCAAGCAATCTCCTCCCCTTGACGAATCTCTCGCTGACTATTTAATCGAAAAACTAAACAAATCAACAAAACAACGCGCATTTCAAAATTATCCCAAAAAACATCGAATCAAATACCTCAGCGGCCGGAATCTGACGGTAACCGTCACGTTCTCCTTCGATCCCTCCGCATCAAAATTCGCGCTCTCGTCGAAGAACTGCGGCTTGCTTCGTGCCGACGACGACGCCGGGGAGCTCTGGCCGTCCATGGAAGCTTCGGGAATGAGGCGAGACGACGAAGTCGTCGACGAGGACGGCGAGTTGAGAGATCTGGAGGAGATCAACGGCGAGGATTTCTTCGGCCTAGGCGTTGATCTCAACGCCATGGATTTGATTGAAAAGGGAGCGGATCAGAGCGACATTGGAATGATGTTTCCGTTAAAATGTACGGGTGATTTGGGCGAGGATTGAGTGGATTTCTAGGGTTTCTTTTTGGGGCTTTTTGATGTTTTTTTTTTTTTTCCTTTTTCCTTGGCTTTGAAGCGAAGATTTCGGGCGATTGCAGAAAGCTCCTTTTTCTCTCCCTCTCTCTCCTCTATCTCTCTCTCTCCTTTTTTTATTCTCTGCGTTTCTCCTCTGACATTAGAGAAAGAGGGGGGCGAGGGGGAGAGAGAGAGAACTCAGGGCTCAGGAGTTTTTGATGTTATTGGTGTAATGCACCAAAGTCTTTATCAACCCAATTAATTACCCTGTGCAATTGTGCGGGACCGAATCCGGTGGGACCCAGATAAATCGCTACGTGTTGAAAGTGAGTGGAGCGAATCCTCCACCCCATACGGGCTTCATTTATTTGTTTTTAGCTATCTCAGTGTTATAAAAGCTGTGACTTTGTGATGTATTATTATTTCCTTTCATCATTTTCTTGTTTTAAAATAAAAGATAAGGGCGGTGTTTGGTCCAATAGTGGACAAGAATAGGATTAAGAATCTGGTTTTTTTTATGGATTCCTATTAAATTCAGAAAAAAATTAAGACAAGTTTATGGATTCATATAATCTTTTTCCCCCTTTTTATGTTTGTTTTATAACATGAAAAAATAGAATCCAATTTTATAGAAACCCTCCAATTCTTATTCTTTAGTTTGGTTTGGAATGAGAATAGGATTCGGTCGCATAATAATATAGGATTTGTGAAGAAACAGAATCCAAAAAAAATGAGGGAGAATAGTACGGGTGTGTTAATTTTTAGCCCAAAGTTCTCCTAAATCATTAGTGTTGATGCTCGTAAACAAACAGCCGATGGGGGTTTCCCGCTATCGGATGCAGCTTCGATCATGGCAACGGTGGGGAAGAAGGAGAGGATGAATGTTGGGGCCGACTCCTCCTCCGACTTTTTGCCCGATTCTGAGCGTGCGGGGTGGACTGATAACCTGCACATGCAAGAATCGCAGGAATACGGGGCTAGTTTCCCTTGTGGTACCTCCGACGGTCAAGTCAGTTGATGAACTTGGAGAGGGTTTTTTGCCCAAAATTCTCCTAAATCATTAGGATTTGGGTTTCTATAAAATCACTATACTTTTTCAATTTTATAGATTTCGAAATCTATAAATTTGTTGTGAACCAAACTCAGTGATAGGATTCATAAAGAATCCTTTATTTACGATTTTGCCTCTGTCAGATTCAATTCCTATTCCAAAAAAATGGTGAAACAAACACACCCTAATTGACCGTCTATTTTCTAGCAATTAACAAGTTTTTGGAACGAAGTTGGTCAAATTGTACTTTAACAATGACTATGAGCATGTGATGGTTAAAAGTTTCGAACAAAAAGTAAGTTATACTATATGTACAAAAAGAGTGGGATTGCTATTGGGACTCTGGAGGAAGCAAGATCTTTTAGTCATATATGAGAGCAAATAAAAACTGAAAAGTAAGTCATATCTGATATCTTGCACCTAAAGATGTTCTGGTAGGATTCCTGTTGTTATTATTAGTGATACTTTGTAATTCTTGTGCTAAGGATGACAAATAAAACTGTACAATTAGAAAGTTGACACATTGTCATGCACGATATTTTTATGTTGTTTATTTTTCAGCACTAGAAAATATAATTGATAGTGTCGTGTAATTTTTTATTATTATATGAATATATGGATTTGTATGTACATGTATGTATGGAATGTAGTTTTATTTTTATTTTATTTTTATTTGTAGTCTTTAAACATATATTGCTTTTGACTCTATGATTAATGTATGTTTGTGTCCTATTTTTAATTACATCACATATTCATAATTTAAGTTTATTAGTTGTTAAATATAGGTGATGTCGAATCATTCTTCGTCTTTCTTGTCTTTTTATGCATGGATCTGAGTTCTAGTAAGTATAAATTATTTGATTCTCCAAAGATTTCAGATTTTGCATCTCCATCTCAAATTCAAGAATATTTAAGACTAGCATTGACCTGTAGAGAAGTGCAATAAAATATCTTATATCTACATTAGTTCATTAACTTAGGCGCTGAGAATCCGCTTCACTAATATATTAAACGTGCTCATTAATTAAAATACAAAAACGCAGGTTAATATTTATACTAATTGAAAACGCTATAAACTACATATTTATAAGGGTTCATGTGCAAAAATCCAAACTACGTTGCGAGTGCTCAGAGAAGTCGCTGACCGCGAGTGTGACACTGTGACACGGTCACATGCCTCCCGTGCCGCTCTACAGCCGTCATCTACACAGTTTCCAATAAATGCTCGCCACGTGTCCGAAATTTTCGATCCTACCCAAACGTCACGCTGTCGGCGCGTTGGACCGATCGTCGTCTTTCTGTCCAGTTTCGAAAGCTGAGCCAAAATCTCGTGGTCCTCGCGGTAACTCGTTTGCTTAACATGTACCCCATAGTAAATACAAACAAAGCATAAAGGGAGGTAATCGGTAGTATCTAAAAAAAATATTTATGGTGTACGTACACCATTTTTGCTACTAGGCAATTTAAATATGAATATTATCAAGGAAAATATTCTACAACGAAGAACATCCTGGTGATAAATAATTAGCACTTTTTTACTAGGTAAAGTTTTAAAATGATAAATAAGGGTTGAGATTTCATATAGAAAAGCCATTTCGAAAGAAGACTGTATAAATAAATCATTCTAATATTAGGACATAGATCGATGTTATGAATAGCTTTTCATTGCAAACAGTAGGATTTCACTAAAAATAGCATATTTTCAGCGAAGCATGAGAAATATGGTATTTATTGGACAAATTTTGAAAACAGACCTCTTTGCAAAAATATTCCCAAAAAAAACATGTTTCCACTTTATTTTTAAAAAACGGCCCAGTTTTGGGTCGATTTTTGAGAAAAAAAGTTCCCAAACTTCACGGGAGTTGAACTCCCGTGAAGTTTTGTTATGTAAAAAACTTCACGGGAGTTCAACTCCCGTGAAGTTTAAGAACTTTTTTTCGCAAAAAACGACCCAGTTTCAGTCTCAGGTTTGAAACTAAGTTGTTTTTGCGAATATTTTCAAAACGAGTCTTTTTTTAGAAATATTTTTGCAAAGGGGTCTATTTTCAAAATTTGCCCCGTATTTATTACACATACAAGTTGAGTCCTCTACATAATAATGATGGACCTAATGACTAAGCCTAGGATGCCAACCCCCCCCGCCCCCCCCCCCCCCCCCCCCCCCCCCCACCCAACCCCCCCCCCCCCGAGAAACGAAAAAAGCATCATTTTCATAACGGCAGCATTTACTTTACAGCACCACCCTTCTTTGTCCTGTGGGTTGCCTGGTTGCCTTATTCGGCATATATGCTCATGAGATGAGCACACTCACCAAAGATCATCGGTGAATCAGGACCGTTGAATTTCATCGATGCGTGACATCGTAATGTCGACGTAAGTTGGTGAATTTGGTAGGGACGTGCATTATCACGTTCCTAAGTTTTTGGAGTTGCTTCAAGTTCACTTTCCATCGTGCGTGGATGAGCCATCAATTGTTGATGGAGAATTTTTTTATTTTTTTATTTTTACCTGAAAGTCCAACATATATATCATAACCTTGTTTTTGCTGGCGTGTTGAGCTAAATAAATTTGTTTGCGATTAAATGGAAGGAAAGGTAAAATAATCTTTTTGAGCCGGTTTAATTACTTCTCTTTTTCAGATCGTGCTTGCCAAAAAAATTAAATCGTTAATTTTTATATGTTGATAAATTTTTTTAAATCTGACTTCGTAAACAAATATAGATTATGCCATTATGGTAATATACTTTGACCTAACTGGCTCAAAAAGAATTAACTCGCTGAGTCATGCTCTGAAACATATTTTACCCCATCCATCTAAATGTTTCTTAATGCAAATCAACATCACCTTTCATTTTTTTTTAATTCTAGACAAAAAATCACATATTAAACTGAATATGTGTTTTAAATAATAATAATAATAATAATAACCGAATAGACGTGAAATCGGATCATATTTCACTATCTGTTTGTTGTTTTATATTACTAACATCTTATCAGTGTATTGGTATTTTGTCTAATGCATCAATTAATTAAGTGTCTTACGATTTGTTTGATTCTAAAATGGTCAAAATCAGCACTAATTATGATACGTAGATGAAAGCACGTAATTAACATGGTCCATAATGATGTTCTCTCTCTATAGATGTGTACTGCAAGGTCTACTAAGATAATATTATAAAAAATTCAGTGAAGGTTCTTATCGTATTGATCAAATATCATATGGATGCTTACTATTTAAAAGTCGTCGGTGGGAGGTCACTAACATTACCTTCATCATCATCTTAGTCTTTGTTACAAATTTATGTTAAATCTTGCTAACTACATAGAGGTGATGTGGCACTGCCACGCCAGCAAAAAATAGCGAAAGTTTAGATTTGTCTTGACATGCTACTATCACCGTGTGTCATCAGTAAAATACTAATAAAATTATAAGCTTGCTCTGTCATGTCATATTAACAAGATTTAATGGAAATTTACAAAAAACTGATAACTGTAGGTCGTAAAATTGACCTCAAATATTTGTATTAATTGAAATTGGATTACAAATCAAAAATCACTTTTACACAGAAGCGAAGAGAATTGATTCAATCTCTCCTTGTTTAACGTGGTTTCTTTGGAATGATAGGATGTTTCCCTCGATGCTCGTACCAAGATTGCTTCCCTTTGATGATTTGAACGATATTGCAAATGAACAAACTTCAACGTGTGGTATAAGTTTGATTAGAAGAGCTTGATCACCCGAGCTTGAATACCAAAGCCGAATGCACAAGAATGCAAGAGTTCGGTTCTTTTGAATCTCTCTCAAAAGTTCCGCAACTGAAAAGTCAAGAGCCCCCTTCTCTATAGCCGAATGTGGCTATTTATAGAGAAGGATGGCTGTAACCAGCCCCTTAGATCGTGGGAAGTGGGCAAAACCACCTTCACAATTCAAGAATTGGTTTTTTAATCGCTCAGGCGAGTGTTTGGGTCAAAAGTTGCTTTTTTCATTGGTGACGAACTCATTACAATTTCAGCCATTACAATAAGTTCAAAAAAGAAAGAAAGTCGATCTTTTTATAAGATCTCCTTACACAATGAAAATAAAAATTACAACTTTGTCAAACAACACACATCAGATGTTAATCGCCTGCTGTTTGTGTGGGAACTTCTCCTGTGCCGG